AGAAAAGTTTGACTCGCAGAAGTCTTGTGCAAAAGACATATTATGTATCTAATTATTCATGAGTATATATTCTTATCTCTTTATATTAAGATTACCCTTTTTCTTTTATGATTCATTATCTTTCTCAATTTGTATGTATATTCTTGATACATGCAGCTTGTGTCATTTGGTTATAGTTTGATCTTCCTCGTTTGCGTTATAAGTCATAGTTTTAACTTACATATAATTGCTTCTTTGCATCCGTCATAACAAGTATATCTAGCTTATTTCCAGTTATGTCTTGACAGTTCTTTTAGTCATCAGTTTGGTCTGTTAGTTTGATATTTAGAGTTTGTCTTAAATCTCTTTTTATGTTTTCTTTATGTTGTATATTAAAATATGTAATATACATCGATTGAAGGTGGAACGTGTACTGTACATAGCACGATTCGTGTACGAGATGACATAACAACTGAAGGAACAAGAAATACACACACGACATCTGTTTACGGAATAGGAATTGCCCTATATGGTTGATGTTTCAATGACGTCAGAAACGAATATGTTACTAAATTTGTTCTAATCAAGATGTTTGTTTTCCCAGCAAAGGGTTTTCTACTTATCATTCATGATCCATATGTAGAATCAGAATTAAAGGCAAGTTCTTTAATTACAGCATTATCAATATCCATGCTCCACTGAAGATAAAGAAGACGAGGAGAAGGACATATTTTACGAAAAACTGGAAAGCACTTACAGACAATGTCAGAACAACGACATAAAAATTATTATTGGTAATTTTAACACTAAAGTCAGCCAAGAGACTATTTACCGACCCACGATCGGCGAGCATAGCCTTCATGCTGTCAGCAACCAACATGGTTTACGCCTGATTGAACTTGCAGCATCATTGAGAATGGTGGTAGTAAGTACATGTTTTCCTCACAAAAATATCCACAAAGCCACATGCTTCACCAGACGGTCAAACAAAAAACTAAATTGACCATGTACTAATTGATAGTCAACATTTCTCGGACATACTAGATGTATGAGCATGTAGAGATGCTAATATAGACTCTGACCACTACCTTGTAAGAACAAAACTTGAACATAAAATCTACGAAATATAATACTGATGTGCTAAACTCTGAAGACGCTAAGGATAACTACAGAAAAATTTTAAATGAAGAGCTGACAAGAATCGACGAAAATTTAAGTATAGGAGAACACTGGACCAAATGCAAGGAAGCTATCAATAAAGCGACTAAAGGCTTTTTAAAACCTAACCAGACTAAAATAAATGAAGATTGATTTGACGAAGAATATAGATCCATTAACTAACAGACAAATGAAGCACATAAGAGACTTCAACAGCGCAGAACGAGGTCAAACCTGGAAGACTATGAAAATTTTAGATGACAAGAAAAAAGGACGTTTATAAGGAAAAAGAACGCTCTAAACGAGATTGTTAACCACCACAATAGAAAAGACTCGCGAAAATTCTACCAAAAGATAAACAGCTGCAGAAAAGAATTCGAACCCAGAATAACAGCATGTAAACACAGAGATGGTTACATAATTAGTGACAAAGGACAGATACTAAACAGGTGGGAGGATCGTTTTGAAGAACTGCTTAGCGGCAGTCGTGAAGAAGACCAAATAGAAATTACTTTGCCTGAAATGGATGAAAACGCTCAAGAGCCGCCCCCTACCGAAGAAGAAATTAGAGAAACCATTTCAAAACTGAAAAATAACAAAGCCCATGGTTTGGACAAGCTTCCTGCCGAACTCTTTAAAAATGGTAGTAACATCCTTTTTAAACACATGCATAAATTAGTAACCGAAATCTGGCAACGGAAGGAAACGCCCGCAGACTGGAAATTAGGTGTAATGCACCCTCTTCACAAAAAGGGAGATATGATGGTGTGTGATAATTATAGAATTATAGAGTGTGATTATAATAAATTAACAACGGATCAAATCTTCACAGTCAGGCAGATTCTAGAGAAAACGCTTAAGTTCGGAGTCGACACCCAGCACATATTCCTGGATTTTAAAGCCGCATACGACTCAGTCAACAGACAAAAACTTCTACAGGCTATGGTGGAATTTCAAATGCCGCTTCTTCTTGTTTAACTAACGGAACTTACACTCACAGGCGTAGATAGTGTAGTCAGAATCCAAAACGACTTTTCAAGATCCTTCCATTGTAAAAAAGGACTGAGACAGGGAGATGGACTGTCGTGTCTCTTATTTAACCTTGCACTAGGAAAAGTAATTCGAGAATTCCATATTAATACGAATGGCACCATCTTTAACAAATCTGTATGACATAGACATTATTGCTAGGTCCATAGAATCTCTGATCGAAGCATTTCGATCATTAAGAGCATCTGCACTGAAAATGAGATTAAAGCTAAATGCACAGAAAACCAAGTATATCTATTGTACTAGATCAGGCAACCAGATACCTAGACTATTAGTTGATGATCTGGAACTGAAAGCTGTGGACACCTTCGTCTATCTGGGCTCGCTGCTGACCAAAGACAACAATGTCAGCGAAAAAATTAAAAGAAGAATAGTGCTTGCCAATAAGTGCTATTATAGCTTGAGGAAACATATGGCCCCAAAACTATCCAGAAAAATTAAAACTACCATATCTAAAACACTAATAAGGCTAGTGTTAACATACGGGTCAGAAACGTGGTCACTTACACAGAACGACCAAGAAACGTTTCGAGAGAAAAATTTTAAGGATAATATATGGAGGAGTCCAAGAACAGGGTTTGTGGTGTAGGCGCTACAATTTTGAGTTATACAAAAGTTTTGGGGAATCTGACGTTGTAAAATGTATTAAATTAGCACGCCTTCGATGTATAGGACATGTAATTAGGCGAGATAAGGATGCAACGATCAGAAAAATTTTCAACCGAAGAGGACCAGTGGGAAGACGAGCCAGAGGAAGACCAAAACTTAGGTATCAAGATAACATAGAGGATGATCTAAGATCCATCGGAGTTAAAGCATGGAGAAGAGTTGCCAGAGACAGGGGTGAATGGATGATTGTTCTGAAGAGGGCTTTGGCTCATAACGAGCTGTAATGCCACTGATGATAATGTCATGATCGACAATAATTAAATTACAAGAAAAAGAAACTAGCTGAAACACGGTTCTGAAGTTACTTTCTTGTAGCACGTCTACTTTAAATATTGTTTTTACATGGGATGAAGCAACAATTAATGATTGTAATGAAAACATTGACTAAATTTCTGATGGACATCAAAAATAAAGAAGAATCAATCAAATTCACCATGGAACAAGAAAACAATAATTCACTTCCTTTTCTGGATGTGCTAATCACAAAAGACGACACAGGATCTGCAACCACAATCTACAGAAAACCAACCCACACCAATCACAAAAAAAATAGAGCCCGAAACACCTCCTCTAATGAAAACACATTCCACGAAGAAAAAACTTGCTAAGATTTTGACTAATAATGACTACCTATTTTTTTTATAAATAAGGAATTCCACCAGAATGAAAAAAGGAAAAAACAAAACACCATAAAGCAATCCAAAAACACTCACAAGAAGGGACTCAAAGATGAAAACAATACCATATGTAAAGGACTTATCAGAAAAATAAAAAGGATACGAAACAAGTATACCATGATAAAAATATTCAAAATAAGTAACACACTGAGATCTATCCTGTCCAAAACTAAACCCAACAACACACAAGAGAGATAAAAAAGACTGCATTAATTTAATATTCTGTGAATTTAACAATTTCTACGTGGAGAAACCGCAAGACCAGTAAGTGTCAGGGTAAACGAGCATGAAACATACATCAAGAATGAAGACTTCCACAAATCCCAGATATGCAAATATGCCTGGGACAACTATAACAGAGTACAATGGAAAGATGCATCAATATTCATGAAAGAAACAGATATGAAAAAGAGAAAAGTCAAAAAGCAGCTCTCATCCTACTTAACGAAGGAAAAGTGTAACAAACAAAATACCAAATGAAGAAATCAATAACAAGAATATACCAATAATAGCGGAATAACAATAAGTCACCTACAATTTATACACATATGCAACAGACAATAGACAAACGCAAATACATAATACACAACTTACGTTACACAGTCACAACTACAATACAGGTTATCCAAATATAGAAAACACACGAAACAGTCAGAAATTGATATTCCTAGGATAAAAACACCACCCCCAGATTTTTTCAACCATAATCATGCTGTTGCCTACAAGATCCAGGTCAAGTATGTCAACCATCAATTTCAAAATACATAACCTAATGACAATTTAATTATACAATTTCGCAGAATTGTTAAAATAATGTTTTTTGAAGATAATTTCCGGAGTGAATAACATAGTATAAAACATATCATCAAAGATCACCAAATTTAAAACGTCAGAAATCGATATAGATATCAAGTTTAATTTGATCGTGTTATTCGCCTGGCAGCCACTACACTGGAAATTTCCAGACCAACTATCTCCCTTATTATAAATACATCCTTGATACTGTGCTCTTAAAGTATAACTGCAATCTATAAAGCAACTGTACTCTAACCAGATATTGTATAGTTGACAAACTAAGTAGGCAAACAATAGCCCAATATTGCGTTAACTTAAATCAACGCTCTACGTGTTAAATACAACGAGAAAATTGATAAATATAAAGATCTTAAAGACCAAATAAGGAGAGAATAAAGAATGGAAATTGAATACTTGCATCGTATGGACTTGCACTAGGGTCTTCTACAGAACTTTTGGCAGGAAATTTGTGTGAGATACTAGAGCGTGTCAAGTTACTTATAGTTCTATAACTTTGAATTATGCTCCTCAAAGCCCAATGTTTTTGATACCCTAGATATTTGGGGTGCACCAATACTGTAAACTTTATAGTAACATTTATTCAATCCGTGTGATTCAATACAATTAAGTTTAGATAATACCAAGGTAAATTAAAATAAAAAAGTAAAAAATCTACTCAATGAGATATATTGACTTGCAGGTAATTATTTACATTATGTACAATAAATAAGACAATAAATTAAAAAAGAGCAAGTCAGTGAAATTCTATATTGGGATGAACAGTATATTTATCTTTGGAGACAGCCATTTATGTCAGAAGGAGCAGTGGACGCTTCCCAGTCCTCTTGTGTGTACCCATCTGATACGTAGTCTTCGTCATTTGTGGTATATTCTGTTGGTAGTGTAGTTGTCGTGGGTACTGCGGTTGCAGGTATAGTGGTTGTCTCGATCGGTGATGTTCTTTTTCGAACACCTTTTCTCATTTTTCTCTTTTTTCTTGAATCACTCACTAACGACTTTTCAGTAGTTAACTTATTTAAATTAGTCTGTTTTCTTCTAACGTTCACGTTTCTTTGGCACAATTCACTGTCTTTTTCATTATTACACTTACGAACATTTCGAGTATTGTGCGGCTTTTGTTTAACGACCTTTAATATTCTTTGACAAATTTTGGGGTCGTTTTCGTCTTTCGTACATTTTCGTTTCTTTTTGCGTTTTCTTCTCTTTGGGCAGCGTTGATGCGAAGGATGCGTTGTTTGATTGGGATGTGGTATAGGCAGGCAAACGTGGCCTTGGTGTCTGATTGGGTGTAGTTCCGGGGCTACATTTCTTGTAAGAACTAATGTGTAGGAGGACAATCTACCAAGCGGTTTTCTGGCTCGTAGGACGACCTTTCTCGATTGGCCTCTTTGATTCAGTGCTAGGTAAAGAGTTCTTTTCTCATTTGAGTATTTACTGGAGGAATACGTGTTGTAATTGGATTGCTCGATGGTCTCATTAAATACGCATTCTTGTCCAAATTCTCTCTGAAACAAAGAAAAAAAAAGTTAATTATCATGAAGAGATATGTCCATTATTTATATGTAAAAATACCGATATATGGATTTATTAAGTTTTTCAATTCAAATCATGTTTGATTAATTATATTTTTAAATATATTTTATGATCTATTGCAATAATGCAACCCTCAAAACCACGATATAAGTCAAAATTTACTACAAAAAATAGTTTACTACGGATCGCAAATGTTGAGTATTACATTGTTATTTAATTAATATCTTTTCATTATTTTTATTTTTCAATTTTTACATTATTTAAACCAGTAAAAAACCACCCTTATAACAAAATTTATAAAAAAAAAACATTATTTTATTTCTATTTATAAGATTATTTTGAAATACCTATTCGAATGTTTATTTATAATAATTATTATTGTCTTTCTATTTATAAAACTATTTGAGATGTCCTTCAACTTTCAAACCTTAAAAATCACCCCTTACAGTAAAATCTTTCCAAAAAATTAAATAGTTTTTAACCTTTATTTTCTAATTATTTTCAAAATTATAAACAAAAATTATAGACTTATTAAAAAGGGAAAAACGAAGAATGTATATATTTTAATAAAATAAAATGTTTTATTAATGAAATTTTATAATTCATCAAAAAAACTACAATCACTTTCGATTTCCTCTTCTTGATCTATTATTGTAGGACAATTTTGACAATTATCACCAGAGCATGTTCCACAAGCTACGTACCAAAATATTCTACTTAGGAAATATACAGACATATAGAATTATTACTAGAAAATATAAAAATTGATACGGTGAGAATATGAGTTTAAGCGTATTTTTTACTGCACCGAAATTTCACCAAAAAATATAAATAGTTTTTTTAACGATATCTTTTTTGATTTTTTAATATATTTAACTGCTCCAAAATTAATACATTGTTCTCACGTTGCAATGCAAAGTTAAAACAGCAATATCTCAATTAGATTTCATCCTAGAATAAAAAAAAGCAATATTTTCACGAAAAATCCTAAATTTTATTGTTCTTGCATTTTTTTTTTCATATAATCTTCAGTTTTCGAATTATTGTGTAAAATTTACAACTTTTTCAAAAATAAAAAAAGCTTTTTTCAAATCTATGCATTTTAAATTGGTTAAATTTCCAGAACACATTATTAGTACCGATGTGTAGTTGAAAATACCAGGATTAAGTTATTTCCATTTTAGTGGTAAATTTATTATAAATAAGTATTACAATAAATGTTAATTTTATTTCTGGTGTTTTACCTTAAAAGCAAGATAACCACTTTGTTTTTATAATAAGTCCGTTAATTTGTACGCTAACGACTTCTACCACAGCTCCCTTTAAAGAGTATTTTTTAAAGAGCTCTATTTAAGTATTTTAAAAACGTTTTGAGAGCTTTCCTCAAAAATCTACCCTTCCTCCATTATTTAATATTGAATGGTTCGACTTCCGGTTTAGGCAAATACGCCGTCACTTTTGTCAATCAGTAACTTGGTTTGTATTGCATTGTTATAAAAAAAAACAATCGATTTGTTTTTTCAAGAGGTTTACTTTCATTCTTATGTTTTTTTTTTGTTAAAATCCAAGGTTTGAGTTTTTGAAACACTGTAAAGGGTATTTTTTGCTTAAAATGAACTCCTCTATCGATTTCTGATGGTATTATGCATTTAAAAATGTTCACCCACGTGGAGGGGTGGCATTTACCAGCAGTGTAAAAGCACACATCGGCACTATATATTATAGCCTTTGTTCTTTGACATATTTTCTATCTGTCGACCAATTTTCACGTCAATCCATGTGGGTATGTAGAATTCTGAGCAAAAACCGTGAAATAATGGACTAATACATAATGTGTAATTAAAATGGTGTGGAAAAAATGTAAAATTGATAAGGGACAATGGAGAATTGTGCGCAGCAGATAATCGTGCACAGCATTATATTTCAAATTCTGTGGAAAGTTTATGAATTCAATCATTTTCACACCTTTCAGCCGATTTCGTGAACGGTTGATGCCATTATCTTCAGTCGACCGTTGCACGTGGAACAAGTGAGATCCAATTATTAGTCGTGTCTAATTCAGTTGCTTTGAACTTATTATTGATTTAAATCATACTTTCCGTACATTTTGGTGCATCTGTTGGTTTATGCGGTTCAGTAGTTTTCCGTTTTCCTTTGCTATTTAAGAAAACGGGAAGAGCTTTCAACATTCCCGAACGACTTTAAGAAAAAGATTAACAGATTTGACACCTAATGAACTTAGACGATTTGTATTCAGGTATGCTGAAAAAAATAATATCTCAAATAATTTTAACAAAGAGAAGAGGTTAACCGGCAGATATGGGCCATATGGACTTATAAATAAAATAAATCCTAATATAACATTAAGACAACGAGAAGGAACAAGTTTGAAGAGGATGGCTACATTCAATCAGTCAACAACAGTATTTTATTCTAATATTAAAATACTCATAGACTAGTTTAAAAATAATGTCCCAAATTTTAGGGACCTAAAGGAGATAAAAAGGTAGGATCTGCTATATCTGCCGTGGAGGACGAACTATCACAGCCATTTTCTGCATAAGTGCTGTAGGAAATTATATTCCCCCTATCCAGATTTATCTTCGGAAAATAATGTCTCTTACACTTGTGAATAATGAACCTCTTGGTGCTTTCTACAGATGTTCCAAAAATGGATGGACCAATACAGAAGTTTTTAATAAGGGGCTGTGCCATTTTGTTAGACATGCAAAACCCACAGCAACTGATCCCATCCTTTTAATGCTGCAACGTCTAACTAAACAAAATGCATCTATTGATGCGTGAATGTTAGATATTCCAAATGTTCAGCCTTCTATATCTAAGGAAAATTCCTTTTTTGTTTTTGGTGCAATAACAGCGAAAACGGTTAAACCAGAAATTAAAAGAAAATCTCGTAACAACAATCGGAAATTCTTACAAGCACACCAATGAAGACAAAATTGGAGGAAGCCCAGGAAAAAAGACGATTAAGAAACGAGAATCTTAAGAGAGAGGACGAACAGAAACCAGCAAAAAAGGTAACTGTTCAGAGATATCTTCGCCCAACACCATTAGAAACACCAGCTTCACCTAACGAGACATATTGTATTTTTGGGGAAAGAGGGAAAATTTAAGAATTATGGTATCTATGTGTGTTATGTACCTGTGGAATCACGCACAATGTACAGATGTAAATAACCTAGAAAATTATAAATGCGACTTTTGTTTACGTTCAAAATATTACCTTTAAATTTACCATACAATTATTATTTTTTTTATATTATTATACTTTTGACATAAGCGTTATACATCGATTTTAAATTAATGTTTTTTTTTTTTCGAATTTCTTCTAATTTTCTAATAAATTAATTTAGTGTGCACCATTTCCCAATCCGTGTGCATGATTTCCCCCATGGATGGGGAATCGTGCGCAAAGGCACTTCTTTTTTTAATATTATGCTTTTGCACTTTGTATTTTTCTAAAACTTAATATTCAAAGTTATTAATAAAAGCTTACTATATCGTACTGCTTAGTGCGCACCATTCCCCACTTCCCTTATCTGTTATTTTGAAGATAGAGGAAGAAATGTAACCTCATAGTTTTCATAAATAACGTAAAGCTTGACAATGAATTTGTTTTTCTTCGCAGTTTGACTTCTATGATTGGTCCTCCAATGTTTGCGTCATTTTCCTAATAAAACAAAGTTTTTATATAAAATATGAATTTAATGAGGAACGTAAGTGATTACTAAATTATTCATAGTAAATATTACCATCAAGAATTATTAAATCTGAGTAGCAAACTACTATTTTGACTAATTTTTGCTCTAGAGAAAAAAACTAACAGTACAACAAAATAATTCACAGGGAATACCACAACTTCAATGGGTTAATTAAGTAAAAATGAAACTAACAGCTATATTGAGGCACAAGCCAATCAAAATAATGGAAGCGGCACAAATTGGATAATAATATAGCCGGTACATCACGCCACACACCACTGCCAGTGGCTAGCTATAACTACTCGCCTTTTAAACTACACAAATATACCTGTCGCTACGATTATCCAGCTACACACTATACTCTTATTTGTCTCACATCTTAGCTCTAGGGAATAAACACTTATCTTAAAACGCGGTGGCAAGTTTCGAACCTTGATGAAAAAAGTATGCATTATCAAAGTTTTAGAAGCGAAGCTTCTATACTCGCGTTGTATAACTTTTTTCTCTAGAGTAAAATGTGGAGGCGTGTGTCACAGAACTACCGCCACAAGATGGCGTCGTCACGGGTAGCGTCACAAAATAGCGGTTCTTTACATCGATTTACTACTCTCGATGAATTCGTTTCCAGTCATCATATATTTACTTTAAGCCTAAAAAATATATTAAATTTTAAAAATACAGAAAACAGTATGAAGTTTCGCGCTAGTCTACAGTATCGCCTACTGTTCCACTTTTTTCCGTGGATGAAGAAATTCTGATTAGTCGCAGAATCGCAAGTCATCCTCACTAAGAAGACCAATCCATCTATTAACATTTGTATTTATGGGAGAAGAATTCGAAACTGGCACCTACAATAACTTATGTTACGAAAATTTTGAAAAAATTTTTATTAATTTAAAATTATTAATAATGACAATTCAGGGCTGCACTTTCTCAAAAAAATGGGCCAGCCTTAACTCTAAACGGAAGGCGCCAGATCTCCTCTCCTAAGCTTAAATCAAACTTTTTGCATGCCCTAATGCAAATGTAAAGTAAATCAATATTATTTGTGAACTATTTTTAAGTTTAATTTTAATTAATTTATTTATTTAATATTTTTTCTTAAGTGTGAGTAATTTTTTAACTACTTCTACAAAAGAACCTGCTCGTTCAAAATATTTGAGAAAAATGGTAATTGGTGGATAATGGAACTCCCTTTCTGAGTTTTTTTAGGTTTTTTAGTGCGCTTTAAGACTCCATATAAAATGCTT